CCCAAAAGTGATATTTTTAAAAGAAGACATATAAATGACCAACGGTATATGAATAAATGCTCACTGTCACCAATCATCAGGCAAATACAAATCAAAACCACAAGGAGATATCACCTCACACCTGTGAGGATGGCTATTAACAAAAAACAAAGGCCAAAAAGTGTTGGTGAGAATGTGGAGAAATTGGAACCCCTGCACACTGTTGGAGGGAATACAAAACAGGGCAGCTGTGATGGAAAATAGTATGGAGGTTCCTCAAAAAATTAAACAGAACTACCACATATCCTAAAATTCCACTTCTAGGTATTTATTGCAAAGAATTGAAATCAGGACCTGCAAGCAATATTAGCACTCACATGTTCATTGCAGTATTATTCACAATAGCCAAGATGTGGAAACAACCTAAGCGTCCACAGACAGACAAATGTATACGGAAAATGGAATGGAATACTAGTCAACCTTCAAACAGAAGGAAATTCTGCAATGTGTGACAACTTGGATGGACTTGAACATTCTGCTACGTGAAATAAGCCAGTCACTGAAAGACAAATACTACATGATTCCTACAGAATCTAAGAGGTATGATGGTTGTCAGGAACAAAGGAAGGGGATAATGGGGAATTATTAATCAATGGGCATAGGGTTTCAGTTAAGCAAGATGAATAGGCCTTAGAGATCTGCAGCACAACGTTGTACCTACACTTAACAGTACAGCATGGCAGGGTGCCTGGGTGGCTCAGTTGGTTAAGCATCTGACTCTTGATTTCGGCTCAGGTCATGATCTCACAGTTCTTGAGTTCAAGCCCTGCATCAGGCTCTGTGCTGATAGTGCAGAGCCAGCTTGGGATTCTCTCCCTCTTCTCTCTCTGACCCTCCCCTGCTGACATGCACGTGTACTTTCTCTGTCTCTCTTTCAAAATAAATAAACATTTAAAAAAATACAGTATGCGACACATAAAAATTTATGAAGAGGGTAGATCTCATGTTAAATGTTCTTGCCAGAGTAAAATAAAATAAAATAAAATAAAATAAAATAAGATAAAATAACTAATAGCCAATGCAAATTAAAGGAAGAATAATAACCTATTTTCTATGCATTATGTTAGCACAAAGTTTAAAAAGCAAGAACATTCATAGTTTAGGAGGATAAGTATCCTCAGACTTTTTTCATTTGAGTAAGAGTTGCTACTAACTGGAGAAAATGATTGGGCAATGTATTAAAATTTAAAATGTGCATATTTTTGAAATAGCAATACTACTTTTGGAACTCTGTCCCATTATAATCGAAAACACATGTATCTAAGACAAACGCATAAAGGTGTTCTGTCGCAGCATTCATTGCTTGTCATAGCAAAAAAGTAGAAATAACGAGATTATGGTTAACCAATAAAATACAATATCCAACTATAACAAAAGTGATATTAGTCCTTCTGTAAAACGATTCAAATAAAGCCAAGTTTTATTATATCCTGATCTCTTCCCTTTCTTTAAAAGCGATAAAATCCTTTCTTTAAAAGGTTATCAGGTGGGCTGATAACCTGAAGCTGTTTCATCTGGTTGAACACACTCTGTAGTCAGCTGACAAATGCAAAGATTTTGCATCTCTTTTCCCTCTACACTCAATGCACAAAGTACAGTAAAGAAATTTTCCTTTTTCTTCACATCATCCAGAAGTGCGTACCACAACAGCCATACTCACTTTGTAATCGGGTACTCCCACATGTATCCCCAGGCTCCATGGAGCTGGACACAGTCATAAGCTACAGTGTTTTGTAACTCACTTGCCCTGGATGACCAAAATAAAAAGCAAAAAAGGAACATTTCAAATGGGTTTTCGCGAGGTGCTTCACAATCAGGAAACAAATAATTTATGACTGTTTAAATACGTACATTTATCAAACAATTACAATGAGACATATTAGCCAACAAGAGAAGACTGATATAAATTACATATGAATAAACTTCTGGAAAATTTTCATGTAATGAATACTTTCTGCATCAGTTGGTTCTGGCTGGGTTTTTGTTAAAGCTAGAAATAAAAAAATGGAAAGCATAGTCTATTAGGTTTTGGGCTACTTTAGGCTTAAGAAGGACATAATAAAAACTTGAATTTTGTCTAATTTATTTAAATTCTCCATATAATCTCAGTTAAATATACAGTTATACAGCCATCTATTTTCTTTTGCCTTGTGATATGTCTTTTTCTCCAAAGATGCCACTTCTACCCGAAAGTTGCAAGTCTGAATTTCAGTAACTGTGAAAAAAATTTTTTAGAGTTTTTCAGAAATAAACTGAAAGTAAAAGTAAAAACCTAAAAAGTACTATTAAAGTACATACCATCATATAGGAAACTTTTAAAAGATTACTTGGGTATTATTATTCCCAAAGTATATGTATATTAATATGAAATACTTGAGAAATATTCTTGTTTGGTCTCATTACAGTAATTCTAACTACCATTAAAATTCATAAGATAATTGGTAGGGATTTTATTCATCTCAACATAAAAATATAAGTTCAAAATTCTTTTCACCCCATTTTTCTTTTTTTTTCTTTTTTAATTAGAGATTCCTTTTCATGTTTATTTAGTTTTGAGAGAGAGAGAGAGAGCAAGCAGAAAAGGGGCAGAGAGAGAGGGAGACACAGAATCTGAAGCCGGCTCTACGCTGTCAGCACAAAGCCCGACATGGGGCTCAAACCCACGAACTGTGAGACCATGACCTGGGCCAAAATCGGACACTCAACCAAATGAGCCACCCAGGCATCTCATTTTTCCCTTAAAAAAATTTTTTTTAAATGTTTATTTATTTATTTTTGAGAGACAGACATAGTGTGAGTTGGGGAGGGGCAGAGAGAGAGGGAGACACAGAATCCAAAGCAGGCTCCAGGCTCTGAGCTGTCAGCACAGAGCCAGATGTGGGGCTTGAGCCCACAAATCGTGAGATCATGACCTGAGCTGAAGTCTGGCACTTAAGCGACTGAGCCACCCAGGTGCCCCTCCTTTTTCTTTTTTTTTTTTTAACCTCTGCCCACAACATGGGACTTGAGCTCATGACCCTAAGATCAGGAGTTGTATGCTCTACTGACTGAGCCAGCCAGGCTCCCCTAAAAGTATTTTTCAATAATGGGAAACCTAAAGCAAAAGTAAGCATAGACACATTTGCCTATTTTAAATAATTTTTAACTCTCAGCAATAGCCAAACTATGAAAAGAGCCCAAGTGTCCATTGACTGATGAATGATAAAGATGTAGTATATTTATATAATGGACTATTACTCAGCCATTAAAAATAATGAAATCTTGCCATTTGCAACAACGTGGATGGAGCTAGAGAGTATTATGCTAAGAGAAATAAGTCAGTCAGAGAAAGACAAACACCATATGATTTCACTCTTATGTGCAATTTAGATACATGTGGGAAACAGATATACATATGGGAAGGGGGGAAAAAAGAGAGAGAGAGAGGGAAGCGAACCATAAGAGACTCTTCATGATAGAGAACAAACTCAGGGATCGATGGAGGGTGGTGGGTAGGGGATGGGTTAAATGGCTGATAGGTATTAAGGAGGGCATTTGTTGTCATGAACACTGGGTGTTACATGTAAGTGATAAATCACTAAATTATACTCCTGCAATCAACATTACACTATATGTTAACTAATTAGAATTTAAATAAAAATTTGGGAAAAAAATAAAATAACTTTTAACTCAAGCCATAAGACAGGTGAGGATGTTTCTAAAAAGTACAGCAACAATATAATGATTAACAGGTAAGACTCAGGAGGCAACAATATTTGGAATTCTATAAATTTTTGTATTTGGCAAGTATTTTAGTGAAATATTCACTGGGTATAACTAGCTGCTTCCTCTCCTTCAATGTGAAGTAACAGTATGTCTAGAAACTTGGTGTTTTTAGGAACAATGAGGTTAATAGCTATCTGAATATTTCTTTTTCTAAAAATACCTTGCCTAAAAAATTTGTACACTTTTCCAACTAGTCACAGGATTTGCTATAAATGTAAATGTAAAATGTCCCCCCCTAAAAGAAGTTCCCAGTAATTCCACATCAGTTCCAACCTGGCAGTTTTATTATTTTGGAATCATTTCATAAAGAACTATTCTGCATACTTCTCCACTCTAGTTCTGACTGAACTGAACACAGGTTAATGAATAATGACAGGAATTTTCTTCTAAGTTATTTTTGGGCTAATGAGATATGAGAATGTTTGTTTTTAAAACAGAGGAAACCAAGCCCATTTTCAGTATCTGATTTAAACCATGTTCTTGCATCTTAAAATAAACAAAGGCCTTATAGGAGTCTCTTTTCAATTAACTCATCTTTAATACAATTGCTAGTCATCTTTAATACAAATGAAAGTTCTTTCCAAATTTAATAGGACACTTTCCCTTTCACTTAATAGAGGATGTGCAACTTCTGATTGGATAATCAATTTTTCATAAATTTTTCTTAGATCTGGACACATTTTAAAATAAAAAATGGAGTCTAATCTACTCATTTCAGAGATATCAAAATGTTGGCCCAGAGAGAATTATTAATATTTTTAAGTGCATTTTTTATTTTGAGAGAGAGAGAGAGAGAGAGAGAGAGCACAAGAAGAGGAGGGGCAGAGAGAGAGGGAGAGTGAGGATTCCAAGCAGGCTCCAAACTGTCAGCACAGAGCCCAACTCGGGGCTCAAACTCATGAGCCGTAAGATCAGGACCTGAGCCAGAATTGAAAGTTGGACACTTAACCGAATGGTCACCCAGGTGCCCCAACCCAGAGAGAATTAAATTTAATTATAGTTATTTAATGAAAGAATTGGGATTCAATCTCAGGACTCTAAGTGGTAATGTTCTTTTGTGGTCTCACTATACTGCCACTCATCAGATAATTTGAAATTAAACTACTACTTGAATGAGTTAATCAGTCATCCTACTTCAATACCATAATATCTTACTCTCTTTTTTAAATGTTTATTTATTTTAATGTTTATTTATATTTGAGAGAGAGAGAGAGAGAGCATGCACGCATTAGTGGGGGAGGGGCAGAGAGAGAGGGAGACACAGAATCTGAAGCAGGCTCCAGGCTCCGAGCTGTCAGCACAGGGCCTGATGTGGGGCTCAAACTCACGAACTATGAGATCATGACCTGAGCCATTAACTGACTGAGCCACCTAGAGGCCCCAAATGTTTATCTATTTCTGAGAGAGAGAGAGAGAAAGAGAGAGACAGAGAGACAAAGTACAGAAAGCGTGCGTGGAGTTGGGGAGAGGCAGAGAGAGAAAGGAACAGAGGATCCAAAGGTACCTCTGTGCTGACAGCAGAAAGCCCAATGCAGGGCTCGAACTCTCGAACCTTGAGATCATGACCTGAGCCGAAGTCAGACTCTTAACTGACTGAGCCACCCAGGCGCCGCAATATCTTATTTTCAATTGCAAGCTAAAAGTTAAATCAACTTGAGTAATTTTTAGCACACTATAAATAGGCTTAATGGGACCTTTCAGCGTTTTTTAAAAAGTTGGTTCCTACTGTTAGTTTTCATTTTCACAGCCTTCTTCTTTTAAGACCCTCAAGGTTGAGTTTAAAGTTGGAAGAATTCCATAACAGTCTATGCAAACACCACATTTTAATTACTGAGGCACGCATACCAATATTTCGCCATGGCAGCAGTGGCAGGGTCCAGACATTTCTTTTCATGCAGCTGGAGACAGCTGTCCACAAAAGCTCTGGTTACACAAATGTGTGTTTTTAATTCTGCCAGCTTATGCTGCACTGTCTTGAGTTTAAAAGAAATGAAAGGGGGAAAAAAGTGAGCATACTAAAAGAGCACATTTTTAGTCACCTAGCATATCTAAAATTATATAATAAAAGACCTTTAGAGCAAAACAAAAGTGGAATTACTGTTTGTTTTTTTACTCTCCAAAAGAGGCAAATATTAACTAAACGGCTTAAATTTAAAACCCACAATACTCATCACCACTAAGGAAAGTTGTACTAGAAGATGGAAAAACAAAAAAAGAGATAAATGATAAATAACATCTCATGTTTTAGATTAAAAAGTTTAGACCATTTAGGGAAACTGCTTGAAAACCAGCATGACTTTAATAGGTGAGCACCATCTTGTGGTATAGTCCTTTAAGTACAGCTGTTAAAAGCACCTATTTTCCTCTGGAATCTAAAACCATGAAGAATTTCTCTCTCTCTCTCTCTCTCTCTCTCTCTCTGTCTCTCTTCTATTTTAGAGAGTGAGAGTGAGAGAGAACTGAGGAGAGGGGCAGAGAAAGAGAGAGAGGGAGAGAGAGAGAGAATCTTAAGCAAGTTCCATGCTCAGCATACAGCCTGACTCAGGGCTCCATCCCACGACCCTGGGATCATGACCTGAGTCAAAATCAAGAGTGGGTTGCTCAACTGACTGAGCCACCCAGACACCCCCACATCTTTTTTTTTTTTTAAGTATACATATTTTTTAATTAAGTATATATATTTCTCTATTCTGATTCTTTGTTCTAGAGTAAAATAACAAAGTAACAAGCTGGAAAGACAACATTAAAAACATTAATTAAACATTATTTTATATTGGGAAGTAGTTAGTCTAGATCTATAGAATGCAGTAGAAGAACGACATCAGCACTCAAGAGATCAAAGTCGTATCCTTCAGCCTCTTCCCCCTCTCTCCACCCTCCCCCACTGACTCTCCTCAATAGCTAGTCTCTAACTTGAACTGAATGGTCTGGAATGGTCAACAACGTCAACATATTATACTTTCTCTTGCCGGCCACAGACAACCTATAGCGGCCTTGGAAATCATTCTATCTAGACTATTCTCAAGTGTTCTTGACTGCTTTCATTTCAATCAAATATTTTTACATTCCAGATTCTTGGCTCCCACACCTTAAATTCTGAGGTTACATTTGGTATCTTTGGCACCAACTTTTGAACCTCCTTCAGGAAACTGACTTGGATTTGACATATTGGCTTTCCACTTTGAGTAACTCCCCAAAATACACCCCATTCTAGTTGACCTCTCAAGTTCAAGGCCCAGGACTGGTCAGCTGGCTTTCCCTTCCTTATGAAAATACAGGCAGAAACAGAGTTTTGATCATTCTGCTATGGGATTTACAAGTGAGACCTTCACTGTGGCTAAAAAAAAGCATGGAAGTTAGTGAAAAAGGTTGCACAGTTCAACTCAAACAAGACATTAATATGCCCCACCTATGTACTGGCAAGTTCAAACCCAAGATTGAGTTCCCAATAGGAAGCCTTCAGGGACCAGATTCTCATGAGGATGCTGGCCCTGCCTGCCATTCGTACTGGTTATAACAATTCTCAAACCACAAAACTGAACCTTTCAACATCATTGTAGTGGGGACAGTTTGGGAACTTTCCATTTCTAGAAAAGGAATATAATAAGACCGTGGACCAGGCAAAACCAGCGTGTCAGGAGGAGTAGGAACTCTGAGGGACAGATTCCTCAGAGGTGTATCAATGTAACTACCATACTAATGAAAAACCCAATTGACTGCCTTTCCCTTGGCTTTATTCCATCCTGTTCTAGAAACAGACAATATAGCTGGCACCTAATGGTTCTAAAACCAAACAGTAGGATGGCTGATGCCACACATTTTCCACCTCTGTATCCTGGCCTCTAATTCAGAACATGCTGGGTCACATCAAAACTTTCTTCCCCTCTCACTCTTTCCTTACATTGTCTATCTCCCTTTCTATCCATTTATATTTAATTAGGCCAAATCTGTACACAATAAATCAGCACAGAGTTTCCCACCTCTGCCAAGATTACTCATAGAAAATCTAGAGATAGAACAAGAAAAAAAAAGTGGGGAAATATTCTATACATTGAAAACAGATGAGTATATATTCCCTCTGAGCCGACTCCTGGCTTCGTTCAAGGACACCAACCATGATACTTCATTTGGAAGATAAGGGAGAATCTGACAAGTGTCCAGATAGTTTTGTCCTCTCCCTATTGTGATGGCACACTTGAAAATTTATGTACTATTTACAGTATGAAGGAATCAAGATCTCTAAGCCCAATTCCCTTCCATGAGAGCTGTTTTTCTGGGAATTCTGGGAGCTTCCAGAAGCTGAAGTTAAATTTTAGACCAGGATGGGCTCATTTAGAACTCTTTCTTTTAAAAGAAAAATGAAAAAAAAATTTTTGTTTAATGTTTACCTATTTTGAGAGAGAGACAGAGACAGAGACTGAGCGGGGGAGGGGCAGAGAGAGAGAGAGGGAGACACAGAATCTGAAGCAGGCTCCAGGCTTCGAGCTGTCAGCACAGATCCCAATGCAGGGCTGGAGCCCAGGAATCATAAGATCATGACCTGAGCCAAAGTTGAACGCTTAGCTGACTGAGCCACCCAGGTGTTAAAGAACTCTTTCTTTAATTCGCTTAGTGAGGTCCACAGGTTTGAAGAAATTAATGCCTCCAAGAGTACATAATTTACTTTCTGGGGATTATATTTGCATATTCTTGGCATCACATTGGGTGTTACTATATAAAATTTGTCTGGGTTCTTTACCACAGACATTGTATCTAGCTTTCAGAAATTATTGTGTAATGGGTGGGGGCTAATAATTGTACCACACATTATTAGCAAGGTGTTTTTTGTGAATGATCAACACTTGTAACACTACTTTTAAACATTCATTACTAATCGCTAATAGATAATACTACAGCTAGCATTTAAATAAATTCCTCAAAACTTACTAAGTGTATCAGATCAAGTCTCTTTCAGAGTTCTGAATGACATTATTCTCAGAATCATGGAATTATAGAATTGGAATACACTTTGGAGAGGTTATCCAGCCCATATTCCATTTAAACATTACTGTTAATTGTACTGTAATATATTATGATTCAAATATAAAATATAACATCTTCGGTTTGCTACCTATTTTTATAATTAACTCCACACTCAAGGTCTTAAGAACTGGATAATTACATTTTGGAGGAATGTAAGGAAGAAGTATCATTTTTTTTCCCTCTCCTATCCTTTTCATAATATTCTGTGCCCTTAGACTCAAGAGCACATCCCACACAGGAAATAACTAAAGTTTGTCTTAGAAAAGAACATCACATTTTCACTTCATCGCCCATGGGTGAGGGAAGTGAGGAAAGAAAAAAGGTCTATCTACTTTCAATTTCTGGGTAGTAAAACTAGGATAGGAGTTAAGAGTGTATGTTCCAGGACCGCCTGAGTGGCTCAGTCAGTTAAGCGTCCAGCATCGGCTCAGGTCACGATCTCAGGGTTCCTGGGTCCCAGCCCCGTGTCGGGCTCTGTACTGACAGCTCGGAGCCTGGAATCTGCTTCAGATTCTGTGTCTCCATCTCCTCTGCCCCTTCCCAGCTTGTGCTTTGTCCCTCTCTCTCTCTCTCTCTCAAAAATAAACATTTGAGGTGTCTGGGTGGCTCAGTCAGTTAAGCATCTGACTCTTGGTTTTGTCTGAGGTCATGATCTTCCAGGTTTGTGAGTTCGAGCCCCTCATCGTTGGGATCTGCGCCGACAGCAGGGAGCTTGCTTGGGATTCTGTCTCCCTCTCTCTCTGCCCCTCCCCCACTCACGCTGTCTCTGTCTCTCTCAAAATAAATAAATAAACCTAAAAAATAAACGTTAAAATTTAAGAAAAGATTTAAAAAAAGAGTGTAGTTTTCAGAGTTATAATGTCTGTGTAATCTTGGGAAACTTGCTTAACCTCTCCATGCCTCAATCTCTTTATCTGTAAAATGAAGGTAAAAAGAATGCTTATAAAGAGAGTTGTGAAGAAAAAAACAAGATAATCCATTTAGCACAGTGTCTAGTACATGGGAACAATGTAACAAATCAGTCATTATCATTATTTAATAACTGAATTTTACCATTTTATTGTCTATTCCATGGAAAAATCATAAGATGTGACATCAAATATCTCCATATTTGAATGAATGAAAAGGAATAAAAATCTTATAATAATTGCAACTTAAGTATGGTTAGGTCTCCATTCTACAAAGAAAATGATTTTTTTGTGAAATGCACTGAAATGGTCAGAAAGGCCCCAAATGTTCAAAATTCAAGCATAACAAAGATAAAGGAAACTGAATAGTTAAATGATTGTAAAATGACATTTGGCTAAGTATAATACAACATTTAAAGGTCTTCTATTTCATATTAATAACTGGAACAATAGTGTACCAAGCTCTAGAATAGGAGGTGTAAGCATATATTGGTCATTCATCTTCTTTGAATACATTCCTAGATTGACTATTAAAATATTCAAAGATCCTTATTTCAGTAAAGCAGAAAGATTAGAAGAAATATCCCAGAAATCTGAGAACATAATAAATTTACTTGAAAAACCAGACTACAGGTAGCGTAGTACACTGGTGGAAGTGATACTACTGCCACCTAGTGACAGTTTGGTAAACTCCCTTTGAAAGAAGGTAGTGCTTCATAAAATAGCGCTCGCTTTGAAAAAGATTAAAACTATATTCTCTCTTTTTGCTGTCAAAGTATGTATTTATTTAGTATATATTAGTCAAATACACATATTACGGACTTTTTTTCTTCTCTGGGAAAACATTATACGAGTTTCCTATTTCCTTCATGGTCAAATGTCAAATCATATTTAACGTTCTGAGCTATAAACAATCTGGGTAATATCATAGTCATCTTTATTGTAATTTAATATGAATTCCATAAAAGGAGATGTAGATTTCCAAGGGGATGGAAAATATGCCTATTTGATTTACTTTTTATAGTGTCCATAACAGGGCCAAA